TAGCAAACTTTTCATGGCAGAATTTTGCACCGCACAAATACCTGAAATAGTTTTCAGTTCAGTTTTTCTTTTTACATTCTATTACAAACAATCAATATTTAAAACTTTGAACAATACATGCATACTTGGCTCTTTTGGTTTCAGTGGACCACTGGCAGGGATGGTTCCTCTCTCTGTGAACACAGCACATATCACAGCCTTAGTGATGTCACTGACATGGACATTTATATAGGAAACGAGTAATAAAATGGAACACCAGGCCATCATTTCAAAGTCAGAATGAAAAACAGAAGCTTTCACAAAGTTTAGGTAAACTGGAAAAAATGTAACAATGGGTTCCTTGAAAACAGAGTTAAACTGAAATTAAATTTGGTACCAACATACTGTGAGAAAGACATGATTTGTACAAGTAGTGATATCAAAAACAAAGTATATGGGGACTTTTGATTAATGTATCGAAAGTCCCCATAAATTCTTTGACTTTCTCACTCACAAAGTAAATTGGTGGATGAATGAGTTGTCACCCAGTGCCACATTCACAATGTGAACTACACGACAGAGCTTTCTATCCATCATGATTAATTCAAACACACTCTCTTTGGTTCTGCCAATCTTGGTGAACCAGATAAATTGTTTCCAGTTGTATATTTTCCTCTGTTAAAGCACCTCAGTTGTATGACACGGTCATGAACTCACTCCACTATTAATATTAAGTGCATTTAGAGCAGCCCGTGCATGTATATTTAAGTGTGTGTGCATATATCCAGACAGAAGTTGTCTGGCTCTCTGAGAGGCTGGGGCTTTCAAATTATTGGATTGGTTCTGTTTTAATTAAACCGGTTGTGGAAATAAATTGAAACGGAATTGAAACTGAAATTGATATCCATCTTTATAGTAGAATCTTAATTAAGGGAAACACATGTACATAGATGTTGGGTCAAATAAACATAGAGACGGCACACACACACACATACACACACGCAGACACACACACACACACACACACACACACAGGGTCCGCGACAGCTGGGGTTGAAAACGGGATGTCTATATCCAGATATCCAAGGAAAGACAACTGAAGAGGAGAGGGGGATCATAGCTCTTGTCCCCACACACGAACACACAGATAACCCAAACAGCATGAAAATTGAGATACAAAGCCCTCCTCCATCCCCCTCCTGTCACAAGCAATCTTCTCACAAAGGTTTTTTTTTAACCTCTCTGGACCTCTGCTGCACTTTTCACCACTACCTCACAAATTCTTAATAATTTCAAATTTAATTGGATACTTGACGCAAACAGTTTTTCTGATTTTCATACTTTCAAAGGGCTCCGACACCACAATATGCCCCTTGGCATAACGCTGTACATGGCTTATGCATGTGAATATTCCAATACAAATCTGATCCCTCCATGACAGCTTTTTAGAAAACATCTTTATGGCATATTTAGATTTTTGACATGACAAAACCTTTCCCTTTAATTTGTCAACCGTCTGACTTTCCTGTCAATCAAGGTCAGGCCCATGTTTGTTCTGGGTGGCACAGAAGCAGTTGTAGGGCTGAATGCGGGGCTGCCAACTGTTTCCGAGCACTGCCCCACCGAGGAAGCCTGGGCCCTTCCTTCAAAGCACCAACAACGTGTTTTTGATGGAAGGGAGAAGTGGTATGAAGTGGCCATCTTCTATTCGTGACATTGGGTCCTGTTTAGCTTGGCCGCGGGTAGCTGTGGCGTGCCCAACCAAATCTGCTAGATCCATTAGAGGGGACCAACAGAGGGAGGGAGGAGGAGTGAATATCCAAGGGAAGGGGCGAGGAAACCGTTCCTCACCGCTGAGATCCAGCAGAATAAACCTTCTCACACACATCTTAATATACAAACTCCACTGCTTTAAAGGTTCACATATAGAAAACGCTATGGTTTTCTGTTATTTAGCAACAGAACTTAAAGAGTGCAGGATGCATTTGAGGCTTTGAGGGTTCCATGCAGCAGAGACAGATTATGGGGGAGCCATGCCAGATATAATGTGGCTGAGACTGCATGGAGCCCTTTTGGGTCAGCCCTGTCAGTCAGTGTGGTCGCACAGAGATGATGTCACAGTTTACACGGGCATGTCAAGATCATATATAAACCCCGTAACAAAACTGACTGGGTAATACACTTTTTATTTCTAAATGAAAATGCCTAAAATTGATGCAAACTGGTGGAGAGATCGAATGTTATATTTGGCAGAGGATGCCACTGGAGGGTATGAATCAAGTGGTTATCTTTTAATCTACTTACCAACTCTTTAAGCCAGTATCCTTTCAACATGAGTTATAATCTAGACCATGCTCCCGCCATTTCTCATCAGATCGTGTTTTCCAGAGTAAACACAAGTGTATTACAGTGCAAGTCAAAGGGGAGATGATGTCATCTACCGACTGCTCATTGACAATGACACATCGCAGTCATGCAGTCATTTCATCAATATAACCTTTCATTGACACTCATCTGATGCATTGAGAGAGAGAGAGAAAGAATGAGAGACAGAAAGAGAAAGAGAGAGAGAATAAGGAAGGGAGCATGTGAAAACATACAAAGTGTGTGTATGCACACATACTTTGGAATACACCCTTTCAGAGTTTATTTTCCTTACAAAAGTTTTGCCTTCAAAGCTCAGTGGTCCCTAAAGACAATAAGTCTGTCAAGCCAACGCAAACTGAGATCACTGCTGTATGAATGTAACTTTTTCTATTGTGTCCTACATACACTTTTTCCATTTTTCCACCTCCTTCCCCTTTTCCTTCTTCCTTTTCCTCAATGGATATATTATTGGACAATACCGTGGGTTAATTCAATCAGAGTTGGGTCTCAAAAGGCACAAGATCAGAATCGGAGCTTTCCTCACCGCAGTGGCCCAGAGACACATCACACCCCTGATTGTCTCTCTAAGAGATCTTTGGACTTCTTTCATGTCTTCCCACGCTTGTTGAGGACACACAGCCCTTGGCACTCAAACACCAGCGGTTGCTTTTGACACGCGAAAAGCACAACAAACCAAGGATGTGTGCATGCTTCGCAGACTTGTGCTCAGATTTGCTTTCAGTCTTTGTGTAGGAGTGCAGCAACTGTCCAGAGCAGCCGTCTGGACCAGATGTAGAGGTCACTGACCGCATCAGGGGGGCCAGTATCAGTGTCCCTCTCCCTGTCCCTGTGGAGCTATAGCCTTTATTAATCTTTCCTCCTCAGAGGCCTCATAAACTACCGCTTGAGGTCAGGGTCAGTAGAAAAGCCGGTGAAATGGATGATAGCTGGAGGATGCATGAGATTTGAAATTGTATTTGTGTTTTGTTTTGTGTCATCTGTGTACAGAAATGCCAGAAGGAGCTTCGTAGATCTAACTTCAATTCTATTTTTTTACACTTAACAGAACTATTGGCTGTAAACTAAACCATTAGTTTTACAATTAACAAGTGACACTGAATATGGTGTCTCACCTCAAAGGCATATTTTAGCAGGCCTACATCTGCCACTATTAGGATTTTTGATAGTGTGACTAGGTCCCTACAACTTGAATTAGCATTTTCTTTCATGTTGTTGCATATAATTAGTTATTAAAAGTGGGTAATTCCAAGCGTTTGCTGTATGCATGAGAAGGTGCGTTTCATTTTAACGTACGTGCAAAAATGTAGCTGACAGCAGGCTGGCTTTTCCTCCTGAGGTGGAAGAAATTCCTAAAGTTAACTGTCCAAATTATACATGCACCATGGGAGCGATTGTCAGGGTGAATATAGCTGGCCAGCATGGGCCAACACCAACCACTTTCAAATCCCCTCTGTCCGCTATTGCTAATGCCTCCAGCCAGTGTATACATTTTTGATAAAATATTCACAAACAATTTGCATTTTTTAGAGATGAGGTGTGAATTTTCGGATAGTGCTGAAGATTTTCAAAGTACCATCCCAACTAAAGAAACTATGATAAATGAGGCATGTGAGGCCTTGTTGGTTTTCCTCATTGCAGGATGTTTTGAAGAGTTACATGCTCAATAAATCTTTCCCTAAAAATACAAGCAGCACATACGTCAACATCATTTGGAAAGTACAGTAATATAAATATTTGTGGACCTCATCAAGATCTAAAACTGTGCGTGCTATCTCGTGAGAGCTTGGAGAGACTTGTACATTTTAACCTGCGAGAGCAGTTATGACTGGATTTCCACAATTTTATGATAGTGTGCAAAATGTATTTGTGTCAAACTCAGGTCAATTGCCATTTGTGAATAATCACTGGTGTTTGTTTTAACTTGCACAAAGAACCAGATGGTGGCTTTAATTTGCAGCCAGGAAACTCACACAGTGTCAGGTGAGCTTTAAACCCCGATGATAAAACTTTTTTGTCAGTATGCCTCATAATAAGGCATTTGCAGTTTTCTGGCTCACCTGGGAAACTCTTAACATATTGACATGAAATGTTTGATCCGGGAAAATCATAGTAGTATATTCACTTTATAACGTATAGGCTCGAGTTACAGTTTCAATGCTTTTCTCTGTCAAGAAAAACAGCTGCACAACAAACTTTCATCATTAGTTCTTAGTAGAATGCATTTATCTAAATTCACATTTCAGTGGCTTCTATGATTTCTCTCCAGAAGATGTAGTTCATATGAATATACTTTATAGTTCTGTCCTCAGTGTGGTTTATACCAGTGACTTAGAACTGTATTTCTGTGCTCTTACAAAGCTTACTGATCCTGCTGAAGAGAACAAATATATTTCATTGTGACCATAACTCAAATTAAACCAGCAACATTTATTGTTATATTGGTCCTTTGCTATAACAGTGTTATTCACTTCGAGGTCCTGAGAGTTCTGTGTTCAAAGTGAATGTTTTCTAAAAGACTATTTATATTGAAACATAACAGCTTAACATCCATGAAAGTTGTGTTAATTTCAACTCATGCTCTAATTTGTTTCTCTCATGTTTTTTCTTTATTCTAGGCATAGCAGAGCCCAGCCATGCCGATAACAAGTAAAGGGTCGAGACGGAGGGCTTGGGTCCGTGGGCCCTGTGTTTTTTCAATTCTCTGCCAACAGCAGCTGCTCCTTTATTCCTTTTTCATCCTTGTTCAGTCAACAACTGTTCTTGGAGCACTGGAACTTCAGCTGGATGAAGGTCGGCCAGCAGGGACCATTGTCGGTGACATAAGTGCCGGGTTGCCACCTGGTGAAACTGCAACTCTTTATTTTATCTCTGACCATGAGGGTACAGGTGTTGGCACTGACTTACACATTGATGAGACCACAGGCATCATTACTACTGCAAGGCGCCTGGACCGTGAGGAAAGAGACCACTATAGCTTCATTGCTGTGACAATGACAGGCACCACAATTGAGGTGTCGATCACTATTAATGACATCAACGACCATGAGCCAGTTTTTCCCAAAAAGAAAGTTGCTCTTAAGATCCCTGAGCATACAGCGGTGGGGACACGTTTTTCCCTGGACCCTGCGACTGATGCAGACAAGGATCAGTTGACCACCCAAGGCTATGCTATCCGAGAGGGCAACGTGGGCCAGACATTTAGACTCGACACTAAGAGAGGTGCCAACAAAGTGTTGTATCTAGATCTGGTGGTCAATGGACAGCTGGACAGGGAGAAACGCTCATCCTACACACTAGTCCTAGAAGCCTTTGATGGGGGCTCACCAAAAAGGATGGGATCCATGACACTGGAAGTAACAGTGACTGACATCAATGACCATGCACCAGCCTTTAATCAGAGCAGATACCACGCTATCATCTCTGAAAGTCTCCCACAAGGAAGTAGTATCTTACAGGTCAGTTCAAGTCTTGTCAGTATTATTGGGGTGACCTAAATTAAATATTTATTACCACCTTTAGGTTATCCATGGCTGCATGATATTGGTTTGAGTCCCTGTGGGACCTGGGACATTTCTGCATGGAGTTTGCATGTCCTTCCTGTGTATGTGTGGGTTTCTCTCAGTGTACTCCTCCCACCGTCCAAAAACATGCATGTTAGATTCATTTGAGACTCTGCATGCATCTTGATGTGAGTGTGTGTGTGTGTTTTTTTGTGATTGACTGGTGGTTGATAATGGATGCTATGTCTTACCATGCTATGTCTTACCAGGTATTTGCCACAGACGAAGATGAAGGTGATAATGGCCTGGTGCTTTATGAAATCAACCGCCGTCAGAGTGATCCCGACCGTTTCTTTGTTATCGATCTAAAGTCAGGGGTCATCACCCTGAATAGACCCTTGGACTATGAGCTCAAGAGGGTCCATGAACTAGTGATCCAGGCCAGGGATAATGCCAGCCAGCCAGAGGTAATTGCGTTATGACTAAAATGCATTTAACACGTTGTGTAATGCTTTTAGTACTGACTTCTAACTCATGGTATCAGTGGACTTTTTATGCTGCAGTTTAAAACAATGTAGCTTAGAAGGGTGAGCTGTTAGGACAGCTCTAGATTTCTCCAACTTTGAAAACTTAATGGCGACGTATTTTCCACAATATCTATTTTGAAACGTTAAACTTCAGTTTTGTGATGTTGTGTAAATACACTGGAGTTTCAAATAAAATCATTGATGTACCATCATGTCTTTCCAGGTGACCAATGCCTTTGTAACTATCCACGTTCGTGACTTCAATGACAACCAGCCTACAATGACAATCATCTTTCTTAGTGAGGATGGCTCTCCAAGAATTTCTGAAGGAGCCCAGCCCGGACAGTATGTAGCTCGGATATCTGTCACTGACCCAGACTATGGGGAGTATGCCAATGTGAATGTGTCGCTGGAGGGAGGCGATGGGAAGTTTGCCCTTACAACCAAGGACAGCATAATTTACCTGATATATGTGGACCAGGTTTTGGACAGAGAAGAGCGAGATTCATATGACCTCAGGGTGATGGCCACAGACTCTGGCACGCCTCCTCTCAGAGCAGAGTCCTCTTTTACCATCCAGGTGACCGATGTCAATGACAACCCCCCTCTTTTTGACCAGCAGGCCTACAGACAAACCATTCCAGAGGTTGTGTATCCTGGCTCCTTTGTTCTACAAGTAACAGCCAGGGACAAAGACCAGGGCCCTAATGGGGATGTGCGATATAGCCTTCTAAAGGGCAAAAACTCTCACTCTGACTGGTTTTCAATTGATCCAGTTACAGGGATCATTACCACAGCGACCGTTCTGGACTTTGAATCCGAACCAGCCCCTAGTGTAACTGTTGTTGCAACGGATAGTGGACGACCGCCTCTGTCATCCACAGCGAAGGTGGACATTGTGCTTCAGGATGTTAATGATAACACACCTGTGTTCTCGAGCAGCTTCTACAATACTTCAATCAAAGAAAACACGCCAGCTGGGACCTGCTTCTTAGAGGTGAGATTAATCCAGAAAAAATCCTCTCTTAAGCTATGCTATCCACCTCAGTTTAATTAGTCTGTGATTTTCTCTTTTTTCATTCTGATTGTTTTTAATTGGTTGAGGAACAGCCTTCTCTACTTGTCATGGTACTTAATCTTACTGTGTTTTGGCCACCACTCCCTTGTCCTACTTATATGGACAAATTCAAGTATTCACTGTCTCTCTGGTCTTCTTATCTCTTTATTTATTCTCTCCTTTCACTCACGCTATCCACTTAAGCTCTCAGTGATTACTTTCTTGGCAAAGGTTCCTTTTAATACATCAATATAAAGCAGTCTGGAGGTGTGTCCTTAGTGAAAACAGTCCCAAAGTTCTGTTGCAGAAGAGTATGGTCTGCTTGAAAGGGTCTTGCACTTTGTGATGTGATTTAAAAAATGTTTGCTATGAGGGGAAAACAGATTTGAAGTCAGTCTTTGGGCGAAAGATTTATAAAAGTATGAGGAAAAAGGACACAAGACGGAGAGAATTAAGACTGTACCTGAATTCCTGAAGCTACTGTGAGATTTACTTTGTTCAGGAATGTCCTTTCTCTCACCTCAGGGTTGCTATGGCATCCAATCCAGCAGAGTAGGGGGAGCTCTCGGAATCTATGCATTATCTCACTTTAGCTGGGCTGTCTTGCTTTTATCACAATTCCAGCAGCTTTCTGGAGAGGAGGAACTCTCTTGAGTAATGAAAAAGGATGACTGGCTGTTTGTCTTCCAACACGGTCTTAACTTTGCACCATAAGCCATTTAGGCCAACTGTTTTTACAGGTCGCTTTTACCCATCTGACAGGAAGTCAAGGGAAGCGAAGAAAAAGGGCATTTCAGTCACAGTATGTTTTTTAGAAGTCCTGAGATTTAAACTAAAGTGCAGAGCAGCTGCATTGTTGTTTTACATATTTTTGCAGGTTTTTTCACATTTTTTTTAAAGGAATTGAAAGTTGTTCAGAAAATTCAAGCTTTACAAAAAGATTGAAGAGAGGGAATTTCTGTTGTTTAAAAAGTGTCAAACCCGTAATGTCTTTTTGATGAAGTCCTTTCCAATGCTGTGCTTTACTTTTTGTGTAATATGTAGAACAGACAATCTAGTTTTGAGTTTTTGTCACGTTCCTGAGAGTTAAGACAAGCGCAGGCTGTTCTCAGAATTGTACCAGTATTTATAAAAGATATCAATCAGTGTTTGGATTTTGTATCATACTGGTCTGTCTGGCTTGGTTTGGCTGTTGGACACTTGCATGAAATGGAGGAAATCAGCCAATGTTTAATATCTATATAAGGAAATGTGTATCAAATGAGGTGTATGAAGGATACATTGCTGATCAAATTTTCCTGCGTTACCGGTGTCCTTCCTTCTTAAAAAAAACAGTTTCTCATTTCATTTGACAGTTTCTCTTTCTTATTTTCTTCATAGCAGTTTCTTTTTCTTTGTATTTTATTGACTACAGCTCTTTTGCTCCTCTCTCAGTGGTAACACACATACACATGCTTTGTATAGGAGGGGTCTTATCAGTATGGCCACTGTAGTAATCTGTAACGCACTGTACTGTTTATGTAGCCACCAACACAAAGGAGTTATTTATTTCTTGGTTTCCCCGCTTTCCTCTACCCCCACTTCCTCAAAGTATTTCCCAGGCATGAGAGGTTGCGACGCCTGTGTGTGTATGGCATGCATATCCATCAGAACCAGTTTCCTAACCTGAGAAAATAAAGGTCATGAGAACTGTGGATGGTGCAGAGGGAAAATCTTATTTAGAATGGTGTTTGCCATTGCATTTGAATATGAACGTTTGCTGTAATCCCCTCATCTGTGCGTGTCAGATATATATGACTCTTAGATGACTTTTGCCATTCCTTTGTGATCACCTAATTTCTTTCTGTGTGATAATATGTGGTTTTATAGCATATGCGCTTTTCCCTCTTGCAGATGCAGTGACTTAAAGAGTCTCTGTCAAATCCAATGACATGCTAGTTTTGAGCATAACCTGGCTGCTGGGAAGGCACTGAAAATCTCACAAGAAATGACATACACACCCCGGTCAGGGATCAAGTGCAGCACAAACAGACACTAATGCATGGCTTGCAAGCTAGACAGAACTTGGACGAAACAATATAGCACAATCATTCCAAATACAATAAATGCAAAAATGAAATCAACGCACACTAATATGGCGGGAAATTAGTTGAGGTCGTTTAGAGCAAGGCATCAAAGCAAAAGGCCTTCGTGCATGCACATGTGCAGGTGCACGCCTGTATTTCACTCATCCGTGTTTGTGTGCTTGCACACTCTTGAGCCAAGATATCGCTTTCAGCAGGTGATGCATCTCCCATGTGATGTTCAACATTTGGTTTCCTGATCAAGCCTGTTAAACAGCATTCAATCATTCAGACAGGCACACAGATGTGCTCATCTGGGAGATGTACAAAGAGAGGGAATACTGCATGTTGATACTGCAATAGAACAGTAGGCCAGTTCTGCAATGTCTGCTGTGAAATATAGGAAAAGAGCGAGAAGAATGAGTGATGGTCACAATAGAAAAGAAATAATGGATGTGAATAAGTTGAAAATACTAGTACCTGGAGACCTTACAGCTGCTCATAGTGGATCCAGCTTTTCTTTTACTTGCCAGCAGTAGAAACAAGGCGATTTTGTTGAGATCACTACAAGGACTAAGGATAAAAAAGAAAGTCTCAGAGATGTAATCTCCTATAAAATTATGAGTGTATGAATGTGCTGATGAAAACTTAGCTGTATTTGTTTTAGCAACACTGTGTTATTAACTCTCGGTGGATGTTTGGTTTAGTAAAAAAAAATGGTGAGAAGGTGAAACGAGTAAAAACACATCGGAAAATAGTCAGGTCTCTTTTCACAGGTGTCGTGAGTCACACCAAACCACCTACAAAACCACTTAGACAAACACAACACATCCGTCTGTCAGAGTAATCTGCCTTTTGGGTGTGATGGCAAATTGCAGAGAACCCTGTCCCACAGTCTGTGCAGTTTCTAAAAGGAAATACTTATCACACTTAAAATATACAAGTACATGCACTGTGAGACTAATCACATTTGTTATAGTAATATTGGATCAACCAGAGATATCTGACGATGCCCTGAAAGTAGGAAGGTTATTCAGCGTAGGCCTCCTTTAACACTGAGCCACCCCCCTGCTGCTGCCGTGATGAAGCTGACCCCAATAGGAACGAGAGCCAGAACAAACCACAGCTTCCACTTGGAGCTCAGACTCTCCTTTCCATCCCAAACTCACAACACGTGTACTCTAGATTATATTAAGCTTGAAAAGGAATCTTCTAGGAAGATGAAATTTATTATGCAGTAGATGTCTCCAGCCCTGCCTGGACCTTTAGAGTGGTAGCTTTGCTGTAAAAGGCTTGTTTATACTTGCATATTTGATCACTTTGTCAGTGTCTTTCAATGTTCTCAGATCAGTAGTAGTGAAAGCAGGTTGGAGACTGCAGTGGCGGCTGTTATCGTTGTTACATATGGACATACATACACATGGAGATAGCAAACTTTTCATGATTCTAACAGCTGGCCCTGTTCGACATGATTACTCTCTCCTGTACAAATTGTCAGCCTCTTTCTCCAGCTTTCTCACCAACTCACATCTTTCAGCTGCAAGCAATGTTGACAGGATGTGTGTGACAAGGGATCAGGATTGTGTGTCTGCTATGCGAACTATTTTCATAACATCTATCATCACTCACTATGGATTCATCACCTGTTTGCTACTGGAGGCTCAGATGCCATGAAGAAAATCCATCTGGTTTTGAGCTTGTGTCTATAAAATTTATATGTAACAAAGCTGACTTTATTTTTAAAGGCTCAAGTGGTAATGTCTTTCTTTAATTTTCGTCATGGGATTTTTTTGTAATGTTTAGCTTAGTCCTTGAGGTTTTCTTTGCGTAGAAAACCATTTTAGTTATGGCTTGAGCTTGTCAGTGTGTGCTGTTGGTCCACCAGTTACTTTGACAGAGCTCCTCTAATTATGGAGACATAATTTGATTTTTTTTGGGTCGTATTTAAGATCGCATTTAAAACTATGGGTCTTGTTAGACCTATGGTTTATAGAAGTATGCTTACTTTGGATCTTATCTTAAACCAGATTCTGTGTCAGTTGAGCATCCAAACATGCTAAATGGTGATAGCACCTGCAAACCATTAGCATTCTAATCTATCTCTGAGGGCATGTCAACCTGCTAATATTAGCATTTATGTCAAATGTGTGTGTTTTTTTAATAGAGCCTGACAGATTTCCTTACCATGGTCAGGCCATGAATTTATTTAGATAGCTGAATACAATGATTCAGCTATGTCTGGCACCTATTTTGTCTCAGTGGTTAAACTGCTGATAGGTCACCTCCAACTGCAAACACTGATGGTTTTTACTCTGCTGGGAATTTGAATCCATAGAGGTTTTATATTTATGAAATGTTCCCAGACCTGAGTGAAGCGTTTTATTTTTTTGATGCAGGACCCACCGCCATGTTCCCTCTAGACAGGGAAAAAACACTAATGTGTGGTGGTCAAAAAGGGAATTTTGTGGAAGGTGAGCCCTTGTTTGGCGAGGTCTGAAACCGTAGTGCAGACAGTTTTTCATACGGACGCTTTCCTTGGTGGAGAGTTGTTCCAAAGAAGAGTGTACTCACTTTCATTTTTAATTTTTTCATAATGTTGTAATGTTACCACAGTGGTTAATGCAAATGTTGAAACATAATTCTCTGTACTATATAAGTAAAACAGGTTTTCTGTTGCCTCAGTAACCACAGGTGTTCCCAAGTCAACCCAGACCAAGACTATACAGTGTAACCTTACCATGCAAACATAGAATGCTCTTTTTTCTTTCTTTTTTTTGGTAATGTAAGAAGTAGTTAGAGCCCAGATTTTCCACAGATTTTCAAAATGTTTCTCTGTTTGAAAGGTTTTAGTTGTAATCTGCTCCTGATGTCAAACTCTTATCAGACAGATTTCATTTTGTTGAAACCTTTTTTTTGGTCTTTGGTGGTATTATTTTT